TGAAGTCGGCAGAGCACACTTTGATAAGTGGAGCTACCATAGGTAAACCAAGGGCCTGCATCCTTGTTAGTACCAAACTAAAAATATTGTTTCTTCCTCAGTTCAGTGACGAGGACACCACCACCATCAGTCTGGAGGCGAACGGACGACAAATAAGGCTTGCCTCGATGTATCTGGCACATGATAGGCCTGTTCCAACCCTACCGGTCGAACATTTAGTGGAGCGCTGGGACGGGGCCCTGATTCTAGGAGGTGATGCAAATGCACACCATAGCACATGGGGAAGTGGAGACATCAATGAACGGGGTGAGTCACTCTTTGAATTCATACTAAAATCTAACTTAGTTATAAGTAATAGGGGTAGCGAGCCTACCTTCATAACGAAGAGCAGAAGAGAGGTCCTGGATGTTACCCTTGTCTCAGAAGATGCGGAGGTCATGATCAGGAACTGGAGGGTGCTTGATGAGCATTCCTTCTCTGATCATCGCTTCATCCAATTCGACTTAGACGGGGTCCCGTCCAAGGTACCTGCCAAAAGAAATCTAAGGAAAGCCGACTGGCATAAGTACAGAAGAGAGCTTGACAAACGGCTCTCAAGAACCACACTAGCAATTCCAGGAAACTCTAGGGACCTAGATAGGCTGGCAAATCGCTTTACTGCGGCATGTGGCAAGGCTCTGGATCAGGCCTGCCCCATGGTAAAGCCGAGAGGCAAAAAGAAACCACCTTGGTGGAGTACAGAGATTGACGAGGCCCGCAAAAATTGTCGTAGAGCCTTCAATCTCGCAAAATCCTCGGGAGGCGATACGCAATGGGAAATCTATAAGTTAAACTTGAAAGATTACAAGAAACTACTAAGGAAGAGCAAGAGATCCTCATGGAGGAACTTTTGCAGTGGTATGGAATCCGTATCAGAAGGTTCTAGGCTCAGGAAGGTTCTCTCTAGTTCACCTCGTATCGCCCCGGGATGCTTGCTAAGATCCGACGGAGCGTGGACGGAAACTGGGGAGGAATCCCTGGACCATCTTCTGAGCACGCACTTTCCAGGCGCCACCGAGCAGCCATTGAACGGGCCAATAAGAAATAGAGGTCAACCGGTTACGGTAGACCTCATCACCAAAGAAAAGCTGATGTGGGCAATAGGGTCCTTCAAGCCTTACAAATCTGCGGGTCCAGATGGTGTTACACCGATTCAGCTACAGCAATCTATGGAGCTAAGCTCAAAATGGCTGTATGTTATTTTTAAGGGAGTCCTCACTCTCAACTACATTCCGGAGACCTGGCAAAGGTCAAAGGTTGTCTTCATTCCTAAAGCGGGAAAAACATCCCATACTCGCGCCAAGGATTTTAGACCTATCAGTCTATCATCTTTCCAGCTCAAGATATTGGAGCGACTGATTGAATCCTTTCTTAGGGAATCGGTTGCAGACAAGCTTATGGCTTCGCAGCATGCCTATATGAAGGGGAAGTCCACCGAAACAGCGCTACACGAAATCGTGTCGCATATTGAGAAATCCCTTGCGATAAAGGAATACACCTTGATAGCATTCTTAGACATTGAGGGTGCTTTCAACAACATCACACCTGAAGCAATCACATCAGCTCTAACTGGTCTGGACATCGACTCACGGCTGGTGTCGCTTATACGACAGCTGCTAGTTGGCAGGGTCGTGCGGGCGGAACTGGCGGGCGTGTCGCTGGACAGATACGTTTGCAGGGGAACCCCGCAGGGTGGGGTCCTCTCCCCCCTTCTTTGGGTCATGGCGATTAATGAATTATTGCAGACCCTGGAAGGGGGGGGGGAGGCTCCAAGGTCATAGCGTATGCTGACGACCTTGCGGTGGTTGTGAGTGGAAAATTTCCACAAACTCTTTGTGACATTATGCAGGACAGACTAAGGTTAATCGAGAGATGGACCAAGGAAAAGGTCTGGGTGTTAACCCAGAAAAAACGGACCTGGTGCTCTTTACCAGGAAGTACAAAATCCCCTCACTTCAGCTCCCTGCCATAGGCAATAAGATTCTGAAGCTAGGGGAGTCTGCAAAATATCTAGGCGTAGTCCTGGACAAAAAGCTTAACTGGGCGCAAAATATACAAGAGCGTGTTAAAAAAGCGACGGTAGCCCTCTACAGTTGCAAGGGGGCGATTGGGCGTAGCTGGGGGCTGTCCCCTAGCATCATGTATTGGTTATACACGGTAGTTGTTAGGCCGATTCTATTATATGGGGTCTTGGTATGGTGGCCAAGTCTCAACAGGAAATCTACAACTGAAGCACTCCAAAAGGTGCAAAGAACTGCGATGCTCTGCATCTGTGGGGCCCTGCGCACAACTCCATCGGAGGCTATGTGCGTGCTCCTCGATATTTTACCAATTGAAATTGTTGGAAAGCAATCAGCGGGGTGTGCCGCCTTGAGGTTGAGGGAACTACCAGGCTGGAGGGACACTCAGGAAGGCCACACCGCAATCTTAAAGGACGTAAATATACCGGACACGGATTACTGTGCACCAAGGTTGAACTTCACAAAGAGGTATAGGATTTCCATTCCAGATAGAAAATTCTGGTCAGGAGGGGCTCCCGATGACAATGGATCACTCCACCTCTACACCGATGGCTCTAAGCTAGACGGCAAGGTAGGAGGGGGGGTCTTCTCGGCCCGACTGGGGCTGGAAATATGTTTTCGCTTACCCAACCACTGCAGCGTCTTTCAAGCTGAGGTCGCTGCCATACAGGAAGCGGTTGAACACCTACGTACAAGAGAAGTCATTTATAACGATATCTTCATCTACTCAGACAGTCAGGCCGCACTCAAAGCGCTCGACTCGGTCACATGCAGTTCAAAAACCGTAGCGGACTGTCGCAGATCTCTAAACGAGATGGCTGAGCAGTCTGCTCTTCACTTGGTATGGGTTCCGGGGCACCGGAACATACCAGGCAACGAAAAGGCGGACGAACTTGCAAGAGAGGGCACATCCGCTCCACTTTCGCAGGCCTGGAAGGGATTAGGCATGCCGCTCGCTACCTGCAAGCTCATTCTAAGGGATCTGTCTCTTAAACTAGCAAGGGACAGGTGGGATAGCCTCACCACTTGCAACAACACGAAGCTTACATGGCCTAAATGGGACAAAAAGCGGTCGAAGGATCTCCTCATGCTGAGCAAAGGAGACCTAGCCGCAGCTGTGGGTCTGCTAACAGGCCATGTTGCTATCGGGGGGCACGCGGAGAGGTTAGGGATCCCCCATAACGACTTCTGCAGAAGCTGCAGAAATGAGGAAGAGCCAGACACCTTGCGGCACCTGTTATGCGAGTGCCCCGCACTTTGTAGAAGAAGACAAAAGTTCATGGGTTCAGGATTCTTTGAGGACCTAACCGACATAGCCGAAGTAGACATACGGCAACTTCTGGGTTTCGCAAAATCCACACGATGGTTTGAGTAGGAGGGTTCTAACGATCCGCGTGGTATCACAACGGGCCCACCACCTAGGGCCTATGTGTGCTAGTGGGGTCACTGGCAGCCACTTTAACCTAACCTAACCTAACCTA